AAAAAAAAAAAAAAAAAAAAAAAAAAAAAAAAAAAAAAAAAAAAAAAAAAAAAAAAAAAAAAAAAACTCTCTTGAAAACAGAAAACTAAGACAAAATTGTTATTAAATAAAAGCTTCATTAGTAAATATCCATTCATATTTAAACCAGCAACGATTTTGAAGGCAGGATGATGATGTTGCCCATGTTTTTGAGTCCTGGAAATAGATAGAATGGGAGCGACAAAGTTTCCATTACATTACCATGGTGGTGTGACCATCATTCCTATTCATTATCAGCAATATCAAATCATAAAAGAATTCCCAATGGGAATAGGAGCAGATTTGGAAACAAAATTTCCCAAAAACAATCAGTTTCCTTCAATAAAACTGCATGCGTTGGTCACATTAATCCTAGAACAAGTTATGTATTTACCTACACAGCTGTCAAGAGTCCCACAACTGTCAAGACTGCAATATGAAACACTCTTATTATATGCTCCAATAAAGTTAATTTTACCTACACAAACATACAAATTAGGGCTTTATGACATCTTGCTTGCCACCTTAATCCTAGAACAAGTTACGTATTTACATAAACTTTTACGTTATTAAAGAAATATATTCACTCGCCAACTACGAGCATAGCTCAATTGACATAAAGTATATACTTTCAACGAAGCAATTACAGGTTCAAATCCTCCCCTCCGCCTATTATTTTTCAGTCTCAATACATCAATAATTCATATACCAAATCAACAATTCATATACCCAAAAGAACAAAGAAGAAAGTTAGAAATATGAGAACTAAAAGTTTATATGCATCAACTTGAGAATAATTTGTGAATTAAAATATCCCCATCTCATCTAAAAAGCCGTAAATTCCATTGCCCGCCTTATACTTATGATTCCTTTAAAAAAGCAGAAATGGAAACACCTCAAATGTGAATGTGTTAAGGCCTGTGAACACTAATTTCAAATCATCTTCGCAACAGTTAAAACAGAAACCAGCTTACAAATTAAGACATCCAGAACTTCTGACCCAACAATTCACGATCTGCAGCAGGACCCTGGGTAGCAGCAAGCTTCTGTATACGTGAAGAAAACTCTTCGGCCTGACGAAGATTAATGTCAGAGCTCAATGCAGATGCAAAATAATAATAATGAAAACTAAAATAAAATTATGATTTTAATTTTTCATGGTAGGTTATATGCTATAAGGACTATTCAGAGAGGTAGAATGATGACGGAGATGACCAAACTCTAACACACATTTCATATGCATCTCAAAAAAAAAAAAAAAATTGCCAGAATCCAAAAGACGCTGTGGAGCTATTGAACTTGTTTATACTCACAATTAAGCGTGGTCCCTAAAGCCCCTGATCCTCAATCAAATGAAACACCTATCCCCTCAAAAACACTCCATAGAGCAATTCATTCACGTTGCTCATTTTCACAGCATAAGTACCAGTTAGTGTGTGGCATGTCTTGCACCCACAACATGACTCTGCTCAGTCGCACTCATCCCAAACTTCACTTCTTTAAGGAGACGGACAGTTTTTCTTATTTATGGAGACAGACCAAATTTCACCTAAAGAAAGTCTCACTAGTGACATGATCAGAATCCTCATCCCTAAATTCTCTCTTGTACTTTGTAACTCAACTTCTTTAATTTCCACATCCCTAAGATGAAACTCCACCCACGCTAAAGTAGACATAGACCAGTGCATATATATGCAATCCGAGAGACCAAAGTGTCACCTTCATCCATTTTCATCCTCAAGTCTGATTACTATTCCTACCAAATTTTCAAGAGCCTCGAGTATTTTAGAGACGTGCCATCTTTTAAACTTCACATTAAAACCCGCCACCCAACCAACCGACACAGATCATTAAAGACCTTTTAATTTTTAAAGCTTTGGAAATGGAAAGTGGAATCTATATATTTTTTTTGAAAAAAAAAATGGTTCAATTATCTGAATCATTGAAACTCATTTTGTGAATCATAATTTCTATAGTGGATGACGGTTGAAAGTGATGCTCTTGAACGAAACAAGTAACTATGAGATGAGTATTGATCAAGTGTTTTAAGTAATTTAGAATTTTCAAAAAATACTTGACCATATTTACAAATATAGTAATTTTGAAAACTACTTTAAATTAGTTTAAAACACCTTTTACGATTTTGAAACCCATACCAAGCACATCCTAATATAATATATTATCAGAATTGATGAAATTTCATACAAGTAAATAAATTTCAATCAGTAGATTTAAACCACATCGTAATAACGTAACAAATGTCTAACTCTCACCCCAAAAACATGAATTTATTACATAATGCAAAAAATAATCTTATCAAAAGTTCACAACACATCAGTTGACGCATAGCTAACAGAATAATCAAATCTCAAAAAATATTTGCTCAGTAATTTAAACAAACTAAATATGGTTCTTCCAATCATGATTCCACAGTATTAAAATCAACTCAGATATATTATTGCATCTCAGAAATGAATTTAAAGAGTTCAGTAAGAGTAATGCAGTGTGATGAAGGCCTAACATAGAGAATAATGAAATGTTTTTAATACTTGGGAAGCTAAGATACTATGGTCCTCGTGGTAGAAGAGGTTTTGCATATGGATAAAGATATGTATACAAGCAACACTAACCTTTTCATCGATCCACATTAATGAACTTAATTGATTGTTTAAAATTCGAACAACTGCATCTAACGGCGTCATCCCATCAATCACATCAAGTTCTCCTCCCTAGATAAAGAAAATAAGTAGTTATGATGCATCGATTACCATGTAGAGGAAAATCCAAGGCAAAAATGGAATCATTAAGCTATTATCCTTTACCTGGCTCGCATTTAGGGTCTGGATAATTGATTTGATCTGTTCTGTCATCTGCTCAAGTTCTCGTTCTATATATTCAGCTTGCTCATACCTACAACAAGATTACAATTGGAAACAAGAGATTGAAATTTGAACCTTCAGTACAATGCCGGAAAATTAATCTGTTGTGGAATTATTAGAAAATACAAATTCATCCATAAAATAAAAATAAAAATGTTCAAACTCAATTCTTGATCAAGTTTCCTATTTGAAAAGGGTTAGTAGGAAATCTGCCCACTTAATCTTGTAATTTCAGTTCAACCACCGTAAGTTAATCCTCCCAAATGTATAGAACTGACCTTGCAGTTTTCATTTTAGTCAAAGTATTCACTACCAACGGAAAAAAAAAAAAAAAAAAAACAACTTATCGTGGCACAAATTCTAATCTTTGACTTTCCATTTATACTTCACATGTGTTTTTATAAGGAAAAAAACAACTTTTTCATTTTTTTTTTTTTTTTTTGTGGTAAAAGTATGTGTTGCAAGTGTATATTTTCATATTAATTTTTAGAAAAGTACAGAGAAAGGTTAAATAAATCTAAGATACTAGGTAACAAAAAATTTGAATAAATCCACGACACTAGTTAACGGATAAACTAGAAAGGTCAACTACTTCCCTTATTTAATGGAATTACACAAATATTTTCAAATGGTAGGCTAGGAATTTCAGAAATATTCCTTAAATCAGGTCATTCGTTCAACCATTTATATATATTTTTTTCATCTAAAAAAGAAAACTTTAAAGAAGATCGATAGTAAACTAAAGACAAGAAAAATAAAATACAAATGGTGCTTTCCCCATCCAACAATCCTTCCATACACAGAATCAACAACCAATCTCCAATAGAGAACCTCAAGAAGCTAGAGAAAGCCATTTACCGTAAAGCATGGGCTTCCATATGTTAATGATAATGCCTTTAACTCTACAGTTTTAAACCCACTTTTTTAGGGTAGGGATGGTACTTGTTAACCATGATCCTATGCCATAAAGCTTTGACATCCAAAGAAAACCATTATAACAATTTTGCAAAAAGGGCCTCATGAAAAAGTCTCAAATTCAATATATCAAACCCACCATGAATAAAAAGCCAATAAACAGTCTCTCACCTAACCAGATGAGATCCCCCACCCTTTGACACACTTTCCCATAATGATTCCTAGTGGACATTTCTACCTTGGCACACAAGAGAAGAAATACTAAATAAAGTTATGAAATAGATTTGAATCCCGCCAAGAGTTGATTAGATAGGTATCCACCTACAAACCATAGAGAGTCAAGTCTTTCTCCCATGAGGAGAGGCACCTCAAGACCAAATCCATTAGCGGGTACCAAAAGTGATCGATTAGGACTACTTCCTACTGGCAAACCCTAATTGATAAACAATGGTACTAGCCTTCCATGCTGTTGAAGGAAACCCATTTGAAGCTTAGAAGCCTCACAACTAATATCATGGGGGCTCTTACCAAAATAATCCCAAACCTACCATAACGGAGTTGAAATTAACAAATAATCCTCCGTAACTGAAAAAAAGATCCTACTATTCACAAATTGAAGCCAAACAAAAAAAATGAAGTCTCTCTTGATATACATGGAAACCCATATTTAGACCCTTGTTGACAATGATTAACATTTTACTAAGAACACCCAAATTGGAAATGAGTACTATCGGAAAGATGAAAATCTAGTACTTCGTAGCCCTTATAGAAAGTGTGTTCCATCATCATCCCTCCGTTTGAGTTTCTATTATCCAATTGGCTTTATCTATAAGTGAAGGCAAAGAATTATCCAATAAGATGAGAATTTGTTAAAGCGATTGCTTCTTTGTAAAAACATTTCCACACAAAAAAATGAAAGAAAAAACACGACTGCCCAACCCCAAGTTCGAAATACTGGTTTTTTTTTTTTTTTTTTTTTCCTCATAGATAGAAAAACTAGTGTTTAACCATCATCACTTGACAAGATGTAAACGATTCATGAATGGAAAACCAACTTCTAAGATCTAAACAATAGCCACTTTTAACAAACTTCCTTGTGGAATTAGTATCTTTTTGAGCATTAGTCTCTATTCATTTTTTCAATGAAAAGTTTCTTATTAGATAAACATAAAGATCAAAACAGAATGAATGTATTTTATATAAAAGATAGAACCTATAATGTGTAAATGTCGTAACTACATAAAATTTATCACTCACATTGCATCCCTAGTAGATGCAGCTTCATCGTCAAGGAGTAAACCACGTTCATCCTTGTAAATGCGCTCAGCATCTTCTTCCACACTTTGCAATGCCTTATCAACCTAATAATAGAACAGATAAATGCAATTGGTTTGTTACAAATAGATGAAAATACGTACCTTCAAAATTTCTCAACAGCAAGTATTGAAAGAGAAAGGCACACAAGGCCACAGGTGAATACCTCTTGTTGGTGAGTTTCTATCAGCTCCAATTTCTTCTCCAGCTCAGTTTGGGTCTCAACAACCTTTGCAACTTCAATCTAAATTCAAAATAAACCCATTACAGCAACCTAGAAATTAAAAATAAAGGCAATAAAGCAATCTAGCCATACCTATATGTCTGTTTTCTAACATTTGGATAGAGAGCACCCTCTTCCACTATGGGCTCTTACTTTCTTTTGTATATTTCATCTTATCAATAAATATTTGTTTCTCATCAAGAAGGAGAGACAAGACTTATACGTAAAAATAAATATATAATGAGAGTTCAAGATAACCGACTAATCTATGAAGAAAGAAAAAAGAAAAGAGAATCCATAAGATGTAAAGAGGTCCAGTGGACTGATGCTTTCTTTCACATCTAAGATTTCGAGAAATATTCCACTGCTTTTATATCGGTTTTTTCTATTTTTACAAAAAAGATAAACTATAAGCCTAAGAACAGAAGTTCCCAGCAAAAATATATACAAAAAAATAAGAATCCAAAGGTGATTGAAAAAAAAAAGCAAAGGAAATTAGAAAGAGAGATGATGAGTTTGATATTCTTTTCAGTCATTATGTTACATTAGTATGGTCTATCCTATCAAAAAAGTCTCTTGTAATTATTTCCCTTAACTCATTTGTGCTGGTTGGGTTACTTTTCCATTAGCTCCTTCGGCTAGTTTCTCTGTTACAGCTTTTTAATTCTTTAAATGACCATTTAAAAAATAAAAAATTAGAATCAGTTGAGAAAGAAACATCGAGCTAAAATTGAACTAAGAATTGTCCAAAAAAAAGCGGAGAAGAAAGAAATAAACTAAGGATGTGAACACTGGATTCAAAACTTCCTAGCAAATATGTTAAGAGCTCAACCCGTGCAAATTAGAAACCTGTGGAAGAGGCAGGGTGAATAGCACCTACGAACCCAAATAGATGATCCAAAAATTCATTCACAAATTAGAATTATGTTTTTTAAATCCTGTTTTATTTTGTAATTTTTTTGATAATCCATGTTTCATTAGAACAGATATAATGGCCAACCAAATTTCGTAACTCGTTGAAGATTGAAAATCTTGAAATTATGTAAAAGAACACCTCAAGTCTAAGAAGAATATCCCGATTTTGCAAAATCCTCCTATCCCACTCAGCAATAGCATTGGCCTGCTTCCGAAACTTTCCAGTACGCTCTTGAAGCTCCGCATTCCATTCCTTGATGATCTATAAAGAAATTGAAGACAGAAGCAACCATAAAATAAAAACAAATAGTTAGCAAAATAGATAAAAGACTAAACAAGGTTGGAGACATATGTTGTATTAAGATTCAATGGACAAAGAAGGCAAGAACATGATTTACACAAATATTTTGAACCAAGTAATTTTACTTGAACTAAGGACAACTTAAACTGAAAGAGAAGTACCTTCTTGGACGGAACAAATGGCATCACAAATCTTTGAAGACATTTTCATTACTAGATGCGTAATTAAGCCATCAATTTATTTCCTATATCATTACTATTTTTGCAGTAGACAAGAGAATTAATATCATTTACCAAACCCAATACCCTAACAATAATTTGTTCCAATCTTTTTCCTTCCAGTTGCATAAAGATTTGCATTAAAATATGCTAGTACAGAAAAGCAAAGAGAGAGAAGGTGGATACACAACCAACTACGAAGTACTCAAATCTTCTTAATGGATCTCCATATTCAAAAATAAAATAAAACTAAAACTAAAAGAAAGAAAAAATAAGAGTTACAAATTTCGGTTAAACAGACTCCAGTCTCCAACCAGAACAAGCAGAGCAGATGAACCAGCTATAAACTCCCTTTGGTCTATGACCGTCTCCAGGGTGACTTTGAGGCCTTTACACTTGAAGAGGTGAGGCGTAAAAAATAATATTTATATAGAAGTATAAAAAACAATCACCCCTATCAATTTCCACAAGGAAAAAAGCTCTAAAAGGACATCCTTAACATAGATACTACTATCACTGATGCGATTCACTTATTCTATAAAAAAATTCTCATTGTTTTTAAAGCCTCAGGTACTTAAGGCTCAATGCATTTTCATGGAGGCATAAGCCTCATGGTAAATCTTGAGGCTAAGACTTACAGTCAGCCTCAAGGCATAAGCTCAAAAGCCTTTTCGAACATTGATTTCCAGCACTATAATCAAACAAAGACATGCCATCTCTGGCAATGAAGCATGTGTTGATTCCTTTCATAGACCCAATTTAAACTTTTGTTACAAAAACATAAACAATTGTCTGATAAAATAAGACCACTAAAATTCACAGTGCAGAACCCGATCATGAAGAAAGAAATACCTCTTCAACAGTCTTCCCTGTTATCTCAGATGGTAATTTTGGTGTAGCAGACACTGTGGTACTCACAGTTGAAGTTGTACCACTGCACAAATGAAGGATGAAGCAGATGGAAAACATAAATCATAGAATTCCTAATAATAATCATTCCATGCAAGTATTAATATATAGTGAATTGAGTTAAGATGGCTTCTCAGTATAAATGTGTATATGTACAGTAGAATGTGTTGTGGTAGATCATATATTTTAACAATGCCGAGAAAGATGTATCTATAAAACAGGAAGAATAAATTTTACAAAACCTTAAAGACAGTAAACATAATAGCTAATAGCTCAAATGCATAGCATTCCTCACGTTTTTTCTTACATAGTAGAAATACTTGAAAAACAGCAGGGTCGTATACATACCTACTACTGCTTGCTATAACAAGAGTTGATGAAGTCTGACTCTGACTGGAAGCATTGGAACCAGACGTGGTGGTAGCAGCAGTGGAAGCAGGAGCAAGAGATGAGAAACCTGCAAAGAATGAACACAACTTATGTAGAAACAGACACATTAACAAAGTACTGAAGGTATGTTTACAAAGTTATGTAGCAAGATTCATAAAGGAGTACTTTTCACCAAGACAGCCTGAAAAGATAAAAAAAATAATAATAATAATTTAAAAAAAAACAATAAAGGCGAACAAGGTTGCACCAGAGAATCTCCTTTTAATTTTTTGAAAGGGTGCTCAACCAACAAAGAGACAGAAGAGTACAAAGGTCACCAGAGTCCAACCAAAACATCCAATCTGGCCGCAGAAGGACAAGTTATGAAAAGGTGCCTCTGAGTTTTGAACTTCCTTTGCACAAAATACACAAGCCTGGGGAGATGGAAACCCATGGACATCTCACCTGAAGTTTGTCAATGGTATTTATACTAGAGTGGCTGCATTCACAAAGAAAGAAGTTAACCTTCCTATAGTAAGTACCTTTCCAAATGTGGCTGTAGATAGGATCCTCTTCAGTAATACTATTTGTGATGGGATCTAGAGTTAATTATTTAGTTGTGATGGCTACATCGTTTAAACTCCAAATCCATAAATATTCGTTCGCTCAAGATGGAATGTTGTTAACTAATGATTTAAGGCGGAGCACTCTTCATTTTCTGCATCCTTTTAAGTTCCTTCTCAAACATAAACACCAAACCTGATTCGATTGGTTCAATGCTTCTCTGACTGTGGCTTCTTCTTTAGTGAAGCCTGCATAAAGAGGAGGAAATGATAGGAGGCTGCTGTCCACTCCAAGTGTCTCTCCAAAAGTAAGTGGAGGCCCCATTCCCAATTTTGCAGGTTACTTGACAGTACATGTCTTCTCTTAATAAAGAACTGAATCTTTATTCAAAAGAATGAAAGAATACAAGGACAAGCCAAAAAAGGTGGTCCCACTAAATGAAGGGACTCCAGTTAAGTACAATGACCCAAAATGATTTCTTCACTTACCCTTAGAGAGAAACATAGAACCTATCGACTATAAAGGACGTCCTTTCGATTCATGATTTTTTTTTTTTTTTATAAGAGACAATTTCATTGAAGATTGAAATTTTAAAAAGGGATGTAATATTATACATGATGATTATAAAAGACCTTCCCAACTTAAAATGAGGGAGGTATAACTATAGAAAGTAAAAATATTAGACCGCTTACACCAAGATATAGTTTGGTAAACAACATTGTCGAAGAATTTTGTACAAGTGTGTCTTTTTCGCGAATATTCTTTGATTTTGTTCTTTTCACAAATTCCAAAGGAAAGCCATTATGAGGTTCTTCCATAATAGGGCTTTTGCATTCTTGAATGAGTGGTACGTTAAGGTCATGTCTAATAGATCCTTTACCTCCATTGAAAATGTGAGATGTCATCTGAATATATTAAGAATTGTTGTCCAGAAATTCTTAGCGTATGTGAATAAGTGGCTATGTGATTCATTTCCTTTCTTGCATATTAGACACCAAATTTGGTGAAAGAGTAATGTAAGACTTTCTTTTTTTTTTTTTTTTTTGAAGATTTTCGCTTGTGCTAATGGCTTTATGCGCTATTTTCCAAAGGAAGAACTTTACCGTATTAGGGTGATGTCATTTCCATACTGTCTTTGCTAGCGTTGGATTTATTGCTTCTACTTTTTCCCCCATGTCCATCATCTAGGATTTTGTTGAGAAGACTCGTCAGCGCAGGAGCCAAGCTAATGAGTCTGTTTCGTTTAACAATACCACTGGGGCAAGGTCAAGACTTAATTTGGCCCATTCCATTGCTTCGTTATCCTTTAAATTCCTACTAAGCCTCAGGTCCCAGAATTTGTTGACAACATTCAATGTTTCTTTCATTGTGGCTTTTTTGCTCAATGTTTCTTTCATTGTGGCTTTTTTGCTCATTGTGACTTTTTTGCTCATTGTGACTTTTTTGCTATGAGAGAGCCTATACAAAAATGGATACTGCAAGACTAGCATGGTGTTTTCAATGCATGAATCATTTCATAATGATGTGCTTCCTCCACCCATCCATGGCGAATTCGGTTGGTGATGAGGCTTTGATGTTTCTTTATGTACTTCCAAGGCCCTTTTACAGATGATGAAGGGGGTTGATTTTTGTTTGAAGGTAGGAGTATATTTAGCCTTTAAAAGATTTCTCCATAAGGCATTTTCTTCGTGATGATATCCTCATATCCATTTTGCAAGGAGAGATTTGTTATTCTTTATCGAGAAAAGATCGAGGCCTCCCTTTTCTGTTGGGAGGTTTACAATATTCCATCAAACAAGGTGTGGGTCATCTTTCCACAAATAGTTCTGAATAATCTTTCTATATTCGAAACCACTTTTTGAGGCATTTCGAATAGAGACATGTAGTAAGTGGAGAGGTTGGATAATGTGGCTTGTATTAGGGTGGGTCTTCTGCCTTTTGAAGTATAACATGATGACCATATTAATAGCTTTCTTTCTATTTTTTCAATATGCTAGCAAATTCTTCAATCATATTGCATAGTTCCAAGTGAAACTGGCAACTTCATTTTGCAAGGAAAGTATTATTTTTCAATTTGACACCAAGAATGCCAAGGCCTCCTCTGTGAATAGCGATGATATAGCCTTAGAGTGACTAAGGAGAAAATTCTCCCCAAATCAAATCAAGGATCTTTATCAAAATGAACGTTGTAGAATACGTGAGAGGAACTCCCTATTTATAGAGAATTAAAAGCAAACTAAAAGCCACAAGTAAACCCTATCCTACCACATCATTCTATCCGTCCAAAAAGAACTCGTTCTCAAGTTTAAACAAGAAACAAAGATAGGTGGAAACAAGCAAACTGTCGGAATAGAAACGCACCTCAATCAACGGTTGCAAAACACTCCAACAAAAAATTGCTTTCTAAATCCATCATCATGTCAAGAAAGTATACCAATCGGACCAAAGGTTTGGTTTCCATGAAAAAAGTCTAATCATTTGAATTGAATGTGCTAGTGGACCCAATATTCTTGAAGGAATGGGTGATTACATAACGTTATGAAAAAATATCCTTGAAACATATGCACTCGAGCCAGCTGGAGTGAACACAAAAATTCATCTAATATGGCTTCCCAGAGCTTGAAGTTCCCATTTAATGACATGGAAATGGTTTTTCTTTTAAGACTTCTTCCTTGCACCAAGAGAATAAGATGTTGTCATCCACAAAGAAGAGATGGTCTATATGGATTGGAAGGATGCCCACATGAAAACCTCTAATCAAGCCTTGAATTTCTGATAAAGCCTTGAGTTTCCAATAATTGGAGAAGTGTGTCCATATTAAATGGACAAAAATGGAGATAGAGTATTCCCTTGTCGAAGTCCTCTAAAGCATGGATTCCTTCCCCCTAGGCCAACCATTGATAATGATGGAGAAGTTGGTTGATGAGACAAAATCCTTTATCCATCGCCTCCACCTTTTCCAAAAGCCTTAGCTTGGAGAATTTTATCAAATTTCAGTCAACATGATCAAATTCCAAAACTCCTTTTTTCTTCTTGTTTTCCCACACATCAATCAATTCATGGGCTACAAGAGTAGCATCTAGAATCTGTCTACCTTCCACATAGGCTAGCGGGATTTAAGAAATGGTGAAGCATAGCACTTTATTTAGACTATGAAATAGAACATGAGCAATACTTTGTAGAGACAAGTGGCAAGGCTGATGGATCTACAATCTCCAACCAATTATGCATCAATTTTCTTTGGGTTAAGAAAAATACACGTCTCATTCCAACTTCGGTTGATAATGTTTCTCAAAAAAAAAAAAAAATTGAAACTGATATTGCCTTTGAGTGTGTTCTGAGACTATTTACGGAATTCCACTATGAATCCATGCAGTCCCAGAGACTTATTAGTGTCTAAGTCATTGATCAATTTCCAAATTTCAAGTTTTGTGAAGGGACCTTCTAGATCAATGCTCTGTGTAATGCTCATTGATCCCAATTTGGGACAGCTGGGGGAGAACGAGAACCACTATGCTTTTAAATAAAGATTCTTAAAGAAATAATGAACTCCGTTTCAATTTCTTTTCTTTCTTTTCTTTTCTTTTTTTTTTTTTTTTTTTTTTTTTTTTTTTTTTTTTTTTTTTTTTTTTTTTTTTTT